GGATCTAGTCCCGCATCGGGCTGCCTGCTCGGCGGGGAGTCTGCTTCTCCCTCTGACCCTCCCCCCTCTCATGTGCTCTCTCTCTATCTCATTCTCTCTCAAATAAATGAATAAAATCTTTAAAAAAAGAAAAAAGAAAAGTGAGTTGTACACATCTATGTGTGCATATGCAAATACATATTTAGAGAAAGAAACACAGTAAAATATGCCAAATTTTAACAGCGGTATCTCTACAAGATAGGATTGTGGGTGGGTTTTGCTTTTTATCTTTGCCAGATTTTCTACACTGAACATGTATTATTTTTGTAACTGAAGGAAAACTGTATTTGGGAAACACACAAATCTTTGACCTTAAGTCTACTCATATTTTTGCAGCTGTGGGTAATATAGTGTGCAAAGAATGAGATAAGATACTTGGGATCCAGTTTGAGACCAGCTGTTCCTTGACCTTGCACAAATCCTGTCTTCCTTCTGGGCCTGGGTCCTACCTCTGTCGGATGAGGGTTTATAGATAGTAGATGATCTCTCAGGACTGTTCGGGCTTCAGACTCCTACATTCTAAGTTATGAGAACATTGCAATTTGAACTGTTGGAAAAGCTATTAATTAAAGTGGAGAGTAGAGTGGGGGAGGCAATAACATTGCTGAAGATGTATTAAGAGTCATATGGTAAAAAAGAAAATAAAAGTGTTTGTTCTGAAATCTTTTTTAGACTTACCTACCATGCTAGGTATTCTGTCATCTTCTAATATTTGAAATTTACATTTGGTGGCTGCTCACTTATTAAAACTTATCTAAAAGTAAATTACTATGAATATCATATCATTCTGACTAACACCCATATTTTATTAAGAAAATTCTCATTGAGTATATGAGAGTTGGCCTCTCTCTATTGGCTGGCATACAATAAGGAATTTATTACAATATTTACATTTGACCCTGTTGCTGATGAGGAAGGAAAGATCCAGGCAGCCAAGTGCTCCCAGGCATCCCTGCCTTCCTATTTCTCTAAGTCAACATTGAGAGGTCATCCAAGAGTAAATGCATTCTTTATGCATGTGGGAAAGGGAGCCAGCAGTCAGGCTTAAGAAAGGAGCCCAGCCTGGTGGTACTCACCAGCCCTTCCTGCAGCCACAGGGCCATATCCTCACTGACCAGGGTCCCGGTGCCAGGGAGAATATGCCATTCTCAAATCCAGCACCCAAAGAATAAAGCTGTCAGGTTCCACTGCTTGTATTAAATTCAATACTTCTGGTGAATGAGAATCAAAACGAAAAGGATTTGAGGGGCACCTGGGTGGCTCAGATGGTTGAGCGTCTGCCTTCGGCTCAGGTCATGATCTCCAGGTCCTGGGATCAAGTCCCATGGCTAGCTCCCAGCTCAGCGGGAAGCCTACTTCTCCCTCTCCCTCTGCCTCTCTCCCTGCTTATGCTCTCTCTCTCTCTATCTCTGTGTCTCAAGTGAATAAATAAAATCTTTAAAAAAAAAAAAAAAAGAAAAGAAACGGATTTGAGATCTGATATTTGCATCTGGTGAATATAAAGGGGCCAATGGAATTGTCACCACCATAGCTATGTCTGATTTGGGACCACGAAGGCTCTTATTGAGGCAGGACCCACTTGTTCGCTTAAACTTGCCCAAGGACTCCACTAACTCAGCGAAAAAGAAAGAACTGCCAACACATGCCTTTCTATGCAGCATGCTGAGGGCTGCTTCTTCCTATACAAGCAACGTCATAAACGGTGGTTAGATTCCATGGTAGCATATTAAATCTAATTTAATAAAGTTTTTGTATGCTTTGTATATTTGCCATGAAAACCAGTAGAAAATACTTTTGTATTTTATACACTACAATTCAACAAACCTATGGGTTAACAAACTTTTATCAGACCAGCCTGGGCATCTGACTTCTACACTTTTTTTTTCTAAGTTTTATAATTGTAGCTCTTGCATTTAGGAAAATATAATCCTAGTTCCTAACTACCAATATAAGTGAACTTCCAAGAAATAAACTCTCTGTAAATTGGGAAATTACTGTGCTTTTTTATCTTTTTAAATTTTATCTTTATCTTTGTTTATCCTTGTTCAGATTTTTGTACCTAAGAGTATGTGAGCATATTCTAATATGTCACATTATCAGTATTAAAGATGCCCTTGTAGGGAAATCTCATCAGGAATCCGAACATCCACCTGTTGAGTTGCTACAATTTTCTCCCTGAGATTTCCCTGCATTGACTTATATGCCTTATTTTGACTTGTTACCTTGGCAAAGACCATGTCCTCTTCACTCTGAGCTGCACCAAGGACATTGTCAGCCCTCAGTAAATATTTCACAGCAAAAACACCCACAGTTTATCAAACAGTCTGCAGAACGAGCTGCTCCAGTTGCTGAGCATTCCCACTGGGTCAGGCAGAAGCGGTTTGTAGCAGGACAAGGAGAGTGGCCTGCCTGACCCAGGAGGACCCTTCAGCCATTCCCTCAATATAAACGCAGTCAGAATTGTGACTCCTCTGTGCAGTCTATTTCTACGTGAAATGGGTGTGAGGTGGCCAGTGAAGCACGTTTTCTGCTGTCTGGATCCCACCTAACACCAAGAAGAAAAATGGAACCTTTAATGTATTTCTACTCTACTTTGTTCCCCAAAGCATGATCTCAACAGGTTTCTCTCCCCAGAGATATCATTGAGGGCCCAGACATGTACACAACCAACCTGTCAATGAGGAAAAGGATGTGCCAAGAAGCTACTAAGAGTTGTGAAACAGAGAGGAGCTCATTCTTACCGGGAGGGGCGGGGGTGGGGGGTGGGGGAAGAAGGGAATGTGAAGAGTGGCTCTGAGCTGGTCCTTGAAGGCTTTTAGGATTTTGAAGAGAAGCAGGGAAAGGACATTTCCGGCTGAGTACAGTCTGTGCTAGATCAGAAGGACAGGAAAGCACCCATCTTTTTAATTCCTGGTTGCCAATCTCTTTTGTTTCAGAGGAAAGCTAGCCGGCATATAAAAGCTGAGGACAGGAACAAAGTCACCAGCAGGAGCATTGGACTGGACACGGCCACATCACCACCAGCAGAGAGCAGAAACCTGGCTGAGGAGCGCCTCCTCTCTCCTTCGAGAGAATGTTGGACGAAGGACAGGAGGCCACCACAGTACAGCAGCTTCTCTGGGTTCAGCAGCAGTGACAGTGTCCTACGGGAATTAGACGACGGACAGTTTGACCAGGAAGACGGAGTGACTCAAGTCACTTGTATGTGAGCAATGAAGTCAAGCAACAGAAGGCCCTGTAAATAATTATTAAAATAATTGCCAACTGACTTTATTGTATTACTTTATCTGCATTTACGTAATATTTTGAATTTTTCCAGACTCTGGCTTTCCTCTAATCTGCATAAACTTGGGCTCAACCTCCCAGACAAGGAAGAATAACCAACATATTTGTAAATTTAGAATCATGTTTACACTTCTCTCAACTAAAACATCTGCTTAAACAGATGTTTCATTAGGTTATTAACCAATAATCTACTTCAGTTTCTCATGAATGTACAGGATGTACTTTTCTTTCAGTTCCTGATGAGAAGACTAAATATATCAACCAATATTTTGCCTAATTAGGAAGTTCTCAGGAAGTCAGAATCTTAGTTAAGGTAAAAAGCAATCTCTATCTCCCTTTAAATCCCCCTCTTTCATATACATGTAAAGGGCAAATTAATGAAATACCTATTTCCTGAATATAACAATTCAAATTTTGTCTTTTTAACGATGACATGTATAGACAAAGCCAACTCCTGTTTGTTAAAATATTCTTCAAAAACATCCTTTTTGTATGTCTTTGCTTTTAAAGAAAGGGTCACCATGTTACCAACCCCGTACTGATTTCATTGAGCTTAAACTTTATTGCTTCTAATAGCCCAAAAATAGAGCAAAGCAGCATCCCTTAAAATTCAACATGAAAAGAACCCACAATCTCAACATTTAAAAACCTTAGTAGAATGAAAGAATTTTCTTCACCTTAAATTGCAAGAATAGAAAGGTACTCATAGCTCCATGTGTATGGAGACCCATCTGTTCCATCTCTGCTTTTCTTGCTCTGCTAATAGGGATGGCTCTGCTTTGCCCAGCCTTTCATAGGTAAAGATTAAAATTCTACATAATAGAGGATTTTCATCTATCTATGAAAGGCTTACTTTGAAATTTGGGAATCTTCAAGTGAAATACAACTGACTTCGCTATTGATGAATTCAGCCTATTACCGATTTTTATTAGCATTGGTGTTGACATTATCATTTGAATAATAAAATGTCATTTGTTATTGGGCTATTGTTTTTTTTTTTAACACAAATGCTCATAATATGTTTTGTACATATGACAGATAATGTATTACATGTTATCAAATATATAGTGTGACTAAACCAGGAAAATCTCCATGAATTGTTGATAAGATCAACATGGAATTATTCCACTTCTACCATGCAGAAGCATTACCTTTATAAGTACAAAGGAACTGAAGAATATTTTGTTTAGTATTATTCCATGGAAATAGCTATCAGCAATATCTGCAGAAATGTTTTTTTGTTTTGATTTTCAGATGAACCTGAGTCCCATATTCAAGGGTTGGTGAGTTTTGGGTAGAAACAAGCATTACTTCTGGAGCCCACAAAATGCCACAAGTTATGAAACACAGGGAATGTTCTCAGAAAGGTCAGTGATCCCAATGCCAAGATCTACAAGAGACTCCTGTGTCATTTTGTCAGTATACAAAGGGATTTGAAGTATTAAAAACTGAGATAGAAATTTCTATTTCTAATTTAAAGGAAAACTCAGGAATATATTAAGCACTTAATTTTTTTAATTTGTGTTAAGCATCTTTTTTTTACAGTTTGCTTTTAATCTAAGTGTTATTTCTTCTTGTTAAAAAAAAAATTATGGGCGCCTGGGTGGCTCAGTTGGTTAAGCGACTGCCTTCGGCTCAGGTCATGATCCTGGAGTCCCTGGATCGAGTCCCGCATCGGGCTCCCCGCTCGGCAGGGAGTCTGCTTCTCCCTCTGACCCTAACCCCTCTCATGTGCTCTCTCTCATTCTCTCTCTCTCAAATAAATAAATAAAATCTTAAAAAATAATAAAATAAAAAAACTTATTATAAAAACTTATCAGTTATATCCTCCAAAACCTATTTTATAAGCATTTACTCCAACAACTACCCTTAAGTTACATGGCATATCTGTATTACAGTGAATAAATAATGACCAAGGGGTTCTAGAGCATCTTAAATATATATAAGTAGCTCTGAGTCTACTCTTTAAAAAAAAAAAAGAAAAAGTAACAAAACTTGGACTCTATATGCCTAAGGAGTAAATGTGACTCATCATTATCGGTCAACTGTATATTTGGTTCTTTTCATAACACTATGTAATTCTAGAGGCCCTGCCATATGAATTACTAATACCTATAAATTATAATGAAAAAGTATTAAGATCATAGATGTTGGTGTCAAGTTCTGCCATTCTCCTTGGTGCAGTATCTCCAGGACTTCTGTCTTAGGTCTTAATGACCACCTGTTAGTTCCTTCCCATTTGGATTGAATGTCACCCTGTTATCTTCCATGGGCAACATTTAACACCTACTCCCCAGAGAAATCACCTCTGAGCTGATGAGCAGCTCTATCAATGTCACAATTTCCTTCAGCATAAAATAAATGAAAAAGATAAATGGGCTTTCAAGAATCTTCAGACACCCATAAAAGCAGGAGGCAGAGCTATTGTCAATCCAAATCACAACTATCGCCAAATTATTTATCAGACCAGGTGTTTATATATTTGAATATAAATGTACCAGATGCGTTTTCATTTCTTTCATTCTGGAAGAGCTGAGAGGCTGTCTCATTTTCCTAGCCTTTCCTCACTACCTTGGTTCCTCACCACCATTCCTTCTGGCCTAGAAGGACTGTGGCTCTTTCAGCATCAGGCTAAAAAAGATTCCCTTCTCTCAAATCCTCAGGGCCCCAGAATATCCCTGCATGGAAAGACTAATCAACTGAGAATTCAAATGGAATAGGTGTTAACAATGGAGAGCATCTGTCACTAAACATGTTAAATCAATTTACTGGTGGGTATGTAGGAAAGCTAGCTAAATGCAAACTATCAGAATTTAGAGTACATTCATTTAAATAATACTTGTTGTGGTGATTTATCATACCTTGAGAGTGAAATTTATTTTTGCAATTACCTAAATAAAGTTTATAGAGCCAGTTCTGACAGGTGATTAAGTTCTAAGATGTGTTTGAGGTGGAAAATTAGTTAAAACTCTAAAATAATGAGCCTGGTTTCTGCTATGGTCATAAACTTTTTGTGAAGACAATTCCAAAAATGGATTCTGAAAATGTTTTGAGCATTAATATCATTGTATGTATAAGTATCAAGGTGATTCTTTGTAGGCTTGTATCAACCAGCATTCTTAGTTGGAAGCAACAGAAGTTGACCTTGGCTCATTTAGCATTAAGGGAGTTTATTTCAAAAGATATCTAGAATTGAACTTCATCAAAATTTAAAACTTCTGTTCATTAAACTCACAGTTTCAGAAATGAAAAAGCAGAGTGCCTGTGTGGCTCAGTCGGTTAAGCGTCTGCCTTCAGCTCAGGTCATGACCTCAGGGTCCTGGGATCCAGCCCCATGTCAGGCTCCCTACACAGTGGGAAGCCTGCTTCTCCCTCTGCCTCTGCCTGCCAATCCCCCTGCTTATGCTCTCTCTCTCTGTCAAATAAATAAATAAAATCTTTTTCAAAAAAAGAAATGAAAAAGCAAACAACAGACTAGGAGAATATGTTTGCAAAGTACATACCTGACAAAAGATTCATATCAAGAATATATAAATGGCTCTTATAAATCAATAACAAAAAGACCCAGCACCCAATTATAAATGGGCAAAAGGCTTAAACACTTAGTGAAAGAAAATATAGAGACTTCTGCTTCCAGAAAGATGGAATAGATTCCTCCCATGAAGTATATATATCTAAAAACCCTGAACATTATATATAAAACAAACATAAGATGACCAGTGTCAAGTTCTTTGGTTTTATTTTTCTTCACATATCTCAGACTTGAGACTGAAGAAGCCAGCAATCTAGAAATGCCAATGTTGCAGATCAAAAAACCCTGACAAAAGCCTAGCAAGATGGCAAATATTTAGACAATAGCCACTCTGCTCCAGCCAAACACCACAGAAAAACCTACGACCTCACGCTTACCAAACCAGTACAGACTGAGTGGGAAGCATCGATTTCTACCCTTACAGGTCTATATGAAGGGGCCCCAATACCCTGGCTAGGCTTGTGTCAGAGAAAGACAAGCCGGGAACCATAATTTCAACACCACTGGTCAGTAAGAGCCCCCCAACCCTCACCCCAAAGTGTTAGTGGGGATCATGTAGGAAGCTTAGACTTCACCCCCATCCAGTAGTAATGAGGCGTCTCTCTCCCTCCCCATTGTGGTGGTGTCCGAGGAGGCTTAGGGCAGAGTCAGGACTTCAACTATTGTCCAGTGGTAATGAGGCCACTTCCATAGAGGTGTCAGTAGAGACCATGTAGGCAACTGGAACTCCCAACCCCGCCCATCAGTGGAGAAGAACACCCACCCCTCTCAGGTGTCAACAGAGGTTGAGTGGGGAACTTGGTCTTCTAGCTCCACTCAGCACTGAGCAGGCAGTACCCCCTTTCCTGCACCGGAGTCGTGTCAGAAAAAGCCAGCTAAACACAGATATATATATATATATATATATATAAAATCCAGGATCTCATAATATGAAAATATCCAGTTTCAGTAGACAGTTATTCATCCAACCACGAACTAGAAAGATCCCAAGCTAAATGAAAAAAGACAAAAAATAGATGCCAACAATATAGAGACATCAGAATTAACTGTAAAAGTGTTTGGAGCACCTATGATGAAAATACTTCAACAAACAATTATGAATGTGCTTAAAACAAATGAAAAAAAATAGAAAGCATCAGCAAAGAAATAGAAGATATAAAGAAGAACCAAATGGAAATTTTAGAACTGAGAAATGCAGTACCAAAATAAAAAGCTCAGTGGATAGGCTCAACAGCAGAATGGAGAGGAAAAAAAAAAAAAAAAGAGAGTATCTATGAACTGAAAGAGCAATAGAAATTACCCAATCTGAACAACAGAAAGAGGGACCCCTGGGTGGCTCAGTCATTAAGCATCTGCCTTCGGCTCAGGTCATGATCCCAGGGTCCTGGGATCGAGCCCCACATCGGGCTCCCTGCTCCGTGGGAAGCCTGTTTCTCCCTCTCCCACTCCCCCTGCTTGTGTTCCCTCTCTCGCTGTGTCTCTCTCTGTCAAAATAAAATAAAATAAAATCTTCCAAAAAAATGAACAACAGAGAGAAATAGACAAAAACAAACAAACAAAACAAAACAGCCCCTTCAGGGCTTTGGACTGTAACAAAACAACAAATGATGTAATATTCCCATCATTAGAGTTCTGGGGGGAGGATTGGAGAAAGGGAATGGGGTGGCTGAAAATTCCCAAATCTGGTCAGAGACAAACTAAGAGATTCAAGAAAGTGAAACTAATCTTTAGTGATGAAAATCAGAGTAGTGGCTGCTTGTGGGGTTGGGGTGGGGGGTGACTGCTGACTTGGTCCATTCAGGCTGCTGTAACAGAATACCACAGACTGGGTGGCTTGTAAACAATAGAAATTTACTTCTCACAGTTCTGGAGGCTCAAACTCCAAGATCAAGTTGTCAGCAGATTCAGTGTCTGGTGAAAGCCTGCGTCCTTGTTCATAGATGGCTGTCATCTTTTTTTTTTTTTTTTAACTTAAATTCAATTAACAAATAGTGTATTATTAGTTTCAGAGGTAGAATTTAGTGATTCATCAGTTGCATATAACACCCAGTGCTCATTACATCAAGTGCCCTCCTTAATGCCCATCACCCAATTACCCCATCCCCCCACCTCCCTTCCAGCAACCCTGTTTGTTTCCTATAATTAAGAGTCTCTTATGGTTTGTCTCCCTCTCTGATTTTGTCTTATTTCTCCTTCCCTTCCCCTATGTTCGCCTGTTTTGTTTCTTAAATTCCACATAAGTGAAATCATATGATATTTGTCTTTCTCTGACTCACTTATTTCACTTAACATAATACCCTCTAGTTCCATCCATGTTGTTGCAAAAGGCAAGATTTCATTCTTTTTGATGGCTGAGTAATATTCTATTGTATACATATACCACATCTTCCTTATCCATTCATCTGTCAATGGACATCTGGGCTCTTTCCATAGTTTGGCCATTGTGGACA